AAGACCCAGGGCCGGGATGGGGGCGGGGGCGGGGGCGGGGGCTGGCAGAGGTTTAAATAGGCGGACCTAGAGGTAGGACCCAGCTTCAGCTGAGGGGCTGAGGAGGCAGCAGAGGAGAAGGCTGCAGCGAAGACAGCGACAAGGGTCGAAGTGTCTGAAGTGTCTGCGAGTGGATTGTGCCTGATCCCCCCACTGGGCTGTGTTAGCCGCTGGATCCAGTCTTAACAACGACTGTGAGGAGTAGGTAAGTGTCCTGAAGAACCGAGGTGGACCTCACCATCAGGGCTGGGTCACGGGTTAATTAAGAGATCCTTGTGGCTGAGAGTGGGATGCAGCAGGTCCTTCTCCCTGAGCATCCTTCTTGACTCCGGGGTCTTTCCTCCCCTGCGACTTAAGCTGCTATTCCTATTCCCGGTTCCCCAGACGGCGTCGAACAGGATGACCCTGAATGGCGGCAGCGGAGCAGGAGGGAGCCGAGGCGCGGGCCGAGAGCGTGACCGCCGTCGGGGCAGCACCCCCTGGGGCCCGGCGCCCCCACTGCACCGCAGGAGCATGCCGGTGGACGAGCGCGACCTGCAGGCGGCGCTCACCCCAGGCTCCCTGGCAGCAGCTGCGGCTGGAACCCGGACCCAGGGTCCTAGGCTGGACTGGCCAGAAGGTTCCTCTGACTCTCTCAGTTCCGGAGGCAGTGGCTCAGACGAGAGCGTTTACAAGGTGCTGCTGCTCGGAGCGCCTGGTGTGGGCAAGAGCGCTCTGGCGCGCATCTTTGGTGGTGTAGAGGACGGACCTGAGGCAGAAGCTGCAGGTGAGAGAACTGGACTGTTCAGGAGTCGGGAGTTGGGAGGCCGGGGACCCAGACTAAAAGTGACCAATACTATGGGGATTTCAGAATCATGTCTTTACCTCCCAACCCAAGCTGGGGAAACTGAAGGAATAAGGCCACCATAAATTTCTGCTTACTTTCCCCTCCCCCCATCTCTCCCCTAGCCACCTGCCAGTCCCTGGTAGAGAAGATAGGCCCAGAATAGAAGACCCAAGGACTGGGTATGACTTCCTGTGGCAAGGGGACAAGACACATTCCTCCCTGTCAGGGCTGGCAGGAACACACCACAGGGAGTTTCTAGGAGAGGAGACTTAGATGGCCAAGGTCTCCAGGAGGGTCATGATGGTCGCTATTCTAACTCCAGCCACTGTGATCACAGCCACCCTGGGCCTAGGCAACAGGACGGCAGGGAACTCTGGACACTCAGGACTTTGCTAGTTTGGAGACACGGAGATGGTGGTCAGGCGTACCATGCCCTCCAGTGATAGGGGAACTCTGAGAAGGAGTGGAAGGTGTGGCCAGAACAGAAAACTAGACAGTGGGGACTTTTGACAACCAATTGGTAACTGGGTTATTGGCTTCCTTCCTAGGGCACACATATGATCGGTCTATCACAGTGGATGGAGAAGAAGCATCACTTATGGTCTATGACATTTGGGAGCAGGTAGGACACAGGCTGGGTCATTGAGTGAGAAGGGGGAGAGTGAGCTGGGGAAGGGTCCTGAGAATAACAGGGACATGTATATGTTCTCCAGGATGGAGGCTGCTGGCTGCCTGGCCACTGCATGGCCATGGGGGATGCATACGTCATTGTGTACTCAATAACGGACAAGGGCAGCTTCGAGAAAGCCTCAGAACTAAGGGTCCAGCTGCAACGGGCACGGCAGACAGACAATGTACCCATCATCCTCGTGGGCAACAAGAGTGACCTGGTGCGCTCTCGTGAGGTCTCTGTGGATGGTAAGCAGGTCAGGAAAGGGGGAGATCCTGACTGGACTGTGGGCCAATTAGTCTTGGCTCAGCTCGAGTCCTTGGGAATCATCAGTGGCTAAAAATGTGCAGGAAGAGAACTTGGTGTTTGAGGGCAGGAGAGCTGCTACAGGTCCACTGGGCTCCCAAAGGCCGCATAGGGGCTGGGGAAAGAATCAGATTTGCTAGGAGAGCTGAGGTACCTCAGCATCCTCCTCAACTGCTCCCTTGGCCCATGTCTAACAGGGTTGAGGCTGAGGAGGTGAAAGTATAGGGAATCAGGCCAAGTCAGCACCTGACTCCAGGCCCTGATCAGTCTCAGAGTAGCCTGGCCTTTCCTCACTGGACTTAGCAACCTCCTTTGTGGCCTCCAGCACTGAATACTTCAGACTCAGTGACATGCCCCCACCCCAGTCCACTGGATTATTCCTTGTAATATAATATCAAATCATAAAACTAAGCTGTCAAGTAGTTTTCATTTTCCTTGGTTCACTACTATAGACTACTCTTAAAACATTGGACTCTAAATAAATGAATGCCTTTTCCTGGGCCTCCATTTTGGAGACCCCTTAAACTTTCCAACATTGTGCCTATCTAGTGATGTAGCAATGCTTGAGACTCTCAACACAGGAGCTGGGGTCTTTGTGTCTCTGGGAAGGACCCAGTGTTCCTCCTTCTCCAACTAGGATTTTTGAATGGTAGCTGCTGGATGTGGCCAGGCTTTGAGTAGGTTTCCTCCACCTTTTGTTTACTGGTATATGCCTGTCCCCACCACACAGAGGGCCGGGCCTACGCGGTGGTCTTCGACTGCAAGTTCATAGAGACATCAGTAGCACTGCATCACAACGTCCAGGCACTGTTTGAGGGCGTCGTGCGTCAGATACGCCTGCGCAGGGACAGCAAAGAGGATAATGCATGTCGGCAAGCTGGTACCCGGTGACGGGAGAGCCTTGGCAAGAAGGCTTTCTGGGTCACATCGTAGCACGCAACAGCCGTAAGATGGTCTTCTGTGACAAGTCCAAGTCCTGCCATGACCTCACAGTTCTCTAGGGCCCCATAGACTCTCACTTTGGTGGGCAGATGGATGGATGGATGGATGGATGGATGGGTTGATGGGTTGGCCTAGCCAACTGCCCTAGGTGCCTCAGGACTGGCCCACCGTCTGTGTTCCTCAGAGCTGCCAACTGTGTATACCCTGCCTAATGGTCATGGATGGACAGACAGACAGTGATCCCCAGAGAGGCAGCTCCCAGTGGCCTTTGAGGGCTGGGCCCATGGAGATGCATGTGCAGGCCCACATGTATCCCAAGAAGCCTGAGCCCAGCTTGTGGTCATGATCAGGACTCTGCCTTTCTCCACATGGGCTTATGTGTCCTGGAGCAAGGCTGTTCATTATGGTTGCTATTTGTTTACATGCAGATTTTTGTAATAAAGACTATTTCCTGACAAGTCAAGATTGTTGACTGTGTTTCTCCCATCAGGACTTCTGGAATAGAAAGAGCTTCTAAAATTGAGAGATAGGGGCTCCCAGCCCACACAACCCAGTACATGGTCTTGATCCAAATGTTTGGCCTGGATGTAGCGAGTACATTGGCGGGACAGGTGGGGAACCTGTGATGGTTAGAAGTGTTCAAAAAGCAGGAGGAAACACAAACTCCTCCCAGCCCATTATCCAAATCCTTCTGCACTGTGTCCTGACATTGTCTAGCTGATTGAATCTATTGTTTCTCTTTATATCTAAAGGAAACTGAGGTTGCCCAAGGCAGCACACTCCCTGACAAGAATGTGGGCTGTGACTTGGCATTGGTGTTTCTGCCCTGTCCTTCCTGAGGGGCTGGGAACCATTTAAAGTGAGGACAGCAGTGAGAGACCTGGTTGGGTAATGGGATGGTTAAAGAGTGGAATGAGGGTACTGATGGCTCCTCCACTTCCTGGCTGAGGTTATGCTACAGGGCTCCATGTTCTTTCTATGAGTGGCTAGGCTGACACATTGGCTAATTTGTTTTTGGCAAGAACAGCTCTCTAGAGCCTTCCCTGTCTGGAATGCAGATTTCATATTTGTAAAAGAATATGTTCCTGTGTGCCATGTTTGTCCCCCCCAACCCATTCAGGCCCTCCCAGAAGGGGTGCATTTGACTCTCTTTCTCTCTCTCTCTCTCTTTCTCCCTCTCCCTCTCCCTCTCCCTCCCTCCCTCTCTTTCTGCCTTCCTCTCCCCTTCCTTCCCTCCCTCCACCTCTCTCTCTCTTTCTCTCTCTCTCTCTCTGCCTTCCTCTCCCCTTCCTTCCCTCCCTCCCCCTCTCTCCCTCCCTCCCCCTCTCTCTCCCTCTCTCTTTCCTCCTTCCCCCAACCCTCACCCCACTCTGTGTACATGCATGCACACAGTGATATGCATATAGAGGCCAGAGGCGGGTGTTCAGTGGCTTCTCCAATCACTCTTCACTTTATTCTCTGAAATGGTCTCTCAACTGAACCTGGAGGTTGCTAATTGGCTACACTGACTGACCAGAAAACTCCAGGGATTCTCCTGTCTCCAGCTCTCCAGTGCTGGAATTATATGCACTGTCCTTTTTACTTGGGTGCAGGAGATCTAAACTTGGGTCCTCATGCTTATACACAATCACTTTACTAAATCATCTCCCCAGCCCTTCTTTCATCCTTCTTGACACAAGTGACAGGATTGGAGTTTACTTTCAGTAGTCTCCACTTAGCCACAATTTCACTTCCTGTGATTTCAGTTACCATTGGTTGACTGCAGTCTAAAGATATGAAGTGGAAAATTTCAGGAATAAACAATTCATAAGTTTAAAATTGCATGATGGTCTGAATAACATGATGAAATCTTGAGTCACCTAGTTCTGTCTCACCCAGGATGTGTAAATCAGGCTTTGTCAAGAGGATCCATGTGGTATATGCTACCCACCCATTAGTCACGAAATTCAGATATGCCAAAGAAAGGCTATGAAGTACTTCATTTAAGTGAAAAGATATGTACAGGAAGAAACATATGTAGAGGGTTTGATATTATCCAGGGTCTGGGTATCTACTGGGGTCTTGGGGTATATCCCACATGAATAAGGAAGACTGTAACATGGTTTCAGGAATTAGCATCACCATTTGGTGATAGGTGGGAAGTGGCTAAATGGGGACTGCTGCTTGGGTCTGTTCATCTCCAAAGCCTGGAGGTAGTCTGGGACAGCTTCTGGGAATATTATAGACCAGGACCCATGTTTCTTCATTCCACAGACCCCTGGGAAATCTTGAGAACTGATCCGAACACTGGTTGCAGCTCATTCAATGGCAAAAGGAGGTTTGAAGGCAACTCCTTAGTGTGTATATGTGAAGGAGAACCTCTGAGACTCTCCCACATCCTCCCCAGGGCAGTATTAACTGCTCAAAATTGCTGCTGCTTCTACATGCATGCACACTGAAGCATGCGGAGGGCTTGCTCTTTTCAGAGCAGGTAAGGGTCCCCAGGGCTAAAGAGGGACCCACCCAGCCTTCCTGGTTCTGTTACTTACTTATTATGCAACCAGTTAGTAAACCACTTAGCCTGTCCATGCCCCAATGTGTCACATGGGGACAGTGCCCTCTTCAGAATGGAATGGGTGAAATAACAAAGGTATGTGCTCAGAACAGTTCTAGGTGGTCATAATAGGGGCTCAACATGTGTGAGATGCCTTTCAACAACCCCACATAGCACTGATCCAAGTGGGATGTCTCAGTGACCCCAAAGTAGGCACTCAGCTTGGGACAGGCTGGGCAGCTGAGGAGTCCTGGTCCAGCTTCCAGCCTGAGAAGCTAGCCAGATCTGCCAGGGAAAGTCTTCAGGAGAGAAAAGTTCTGAGGACAGGGAGAGATAAGATCCTTCCACCCTCTCCCTTTATCTGGGACTCCTAGAAACCAAAGCTTCTCCTGGACCTGCTTGGCAGGTTCATAGGAGAGGAAGACAGGCCATGGTCAGCCCTGCAACTCCCTCAAAGTCACCTGAGCTGGCTCAGTCTTCTCTTTTCTACTTAGACATAAGACAGCCCACTGCCCAAGCCTTGTCAATTATCAGGAGCCACTGTGAGATTTGGGGAGCCTCAGAAGAGCTCACAGGCTTTGTTTCTATCTACCAGTTCTCCTGATGGATGGTCTAGAGCCCTTAACACTCACTTTGGGCCACTTATTGCCCATCTGCCCCTCAAGTACAAACTACCAGTTCTTGCCATGACTGGATGAGCCACTTGGGAGTACTTGAGGAAAGACAGGGACAATGTCATGGCTAGAACCGTGAGTCCTGCCCTGGAGGGGCTCCTAGGCTAATGAATAGGAGACAAGCTGATGTCTTCTGCACATTGGTAGAGGCAGTTCATGGTATGGGATGGGGACATTGCCAGAGGAGGTCATGGCCCAGCCTATGCGCATAAGGGCTTTCCTGGAGAGGGGGTTATTTGAGCTGAGTACTAAAACATGAGTAGGTACTCACTACACTGATAAAGATTAGGAAGGGCATTCCAAGTACAAGGACTAGCATGTGAAAAGACGTGGCTACAGTTGCCATTGCACAGGGGAGAACTGGGGCCGAATCCGAAGCCACATTAAGAAAAAAAAAAAAGTTGTGCTCAAGTCCAGGGGGCCAAGGAATGCCCATTGGGCTGTGTCAAGGTGGGAGTGCCAGACTAATGATCTGCCCACCTCCTGGGGCTGGCAGTCACGGATGCTGAGCAGTCCCAAAGTCAATGAATAACTTGGGAGTGGAGGCTAGGCGGGGCCTAACCAGGGCTGCTGCTGTGGGCCCAGTGGTGTTTTCCACTCCTGAACAAGCATGGCTAGACTGCCTACCTGCTTAAGTGTCTACCTTGCCCTGCCCCACCCAGCCCAGCCTGCCAGAGCTTTTGAAGAAGGAGTCCTCTCTCCTGGCAACTGGACCAAGGGAGCTGCTGTGCACACCAGTGGGTGAGGAGCTGGAAGTTCTTGGTGGCCAGGGCTGAGGTTGGGGGTGGTGCCCTATCCTTCAGATATCCAGGAAGAATTCCCAGGGATCCATCTTAGAGGGGTTGTTGATGTCCTCATCTACCGACCGGATGCTACAAAATGCAAGATGAGGGCAGAGTTCCTGCCCTAGGGAACCTGTACTCTGTGTCTCGAGGGTGGCAGTGGGAAACAAGACAGTCCCCAGGCCCCAGCCAGGAGTCCTCTGTTCCTAAAGGGATTCTCTTGTGGTCAAGTCCTCCATGACCTTGGCCAGGCCCTGCCCTTCAGGCCTTGCCCTGCAGCATGGAGCAACTACAGGAAGAAACAGCTATATTTCCATCTTCTAATTTCTGTGATGGGGGCTGCTGCTGCATAATTACTACTTTGGGATCTAGGAGCTGGGGAGGCTAAGGTGAGAAGGAGCAAAAGGTTTGGAGATGAAACATCTATGGAGCTCTTTGTAAGGGCAAGAGCCAAGAAGCTAGATGGCTGGGCCTGGGGGCCTCACTGGGTCTAGCTGAGGAGCTGAATGTTGGCATGTAGGCAACAGGTGCCATAGGAAGAAAAGGAGACTAGACAGTAGCGAGAGCCCTTGGGCTGTGTGTATGGGATGGAACACTTCTTCCTACTTATCTGGGCTAGATTCTCACTGGCGTGTCCCTCAGGCCCGTCTTGACCATGACCCCTGCCTGGATGTGGCTGCTCTACCTCTCTGTTCCCCAGGTGAGTTGGGCCCTGCCCTTCCTTCAGGTCCCAGCCTTGGGGGGTTGGAACCTTTGTCCACAGCTCTACTGAGACCCATCGTACTGACCATAGGAGTAGTGTTGGGGGTTGGATATCCAGAGCTAGAGCTACAGGCCTGCTGTGGGAGCAGAAAACCCAAGATCAGAAGGTGGATAAACTAAGTCATGGTAGGCCTGGGAAAGGAACAGCAGGTCCCTTTCCCTACCAACACCCACAGGATAAAGCAAGAATTTCTCCCACAGGTTTTCCCTGAGGCCCAGTCTGCAGAGCTGTATGTAGAAGTCCCAGAAAACTACGGTGGAAATTTCCCTTTGTACCTAACCAAGGTGAGCCTGAGTTGAGTGGGTTCCCCACACCCCCAATGTCCTGCTTCTCCTACCTTCAGCACCTCTCCTCCTTCTTGCTTTGAATCCTGCTTTCTAGAGAGTATGTAGATTAATGTGAGTAACTAACAAGATTTTTGTCCCAGAGGAAAGTAGAGCTTTGAATTAAAGAATGGAAGGTTAGGCCGGGCATGATGGTGCACGCCTTTAATCCCAGAACTCAGGAGGCAGAGGCAGTCGGGTATCTGTGAGTTCAAGGCCAGCCTGGTCTACATAGTGAGTTCCAGGTCAGCTGAGGCTACAGGGAGACCCTGTCTCAAAAAGATTTAAAAAAAAAAAAAGAATGGAAGGTTGGTACTGGGTGTGACAGCACATGCATGTAATCCTAGCTCTGGGGAGACTGTGACAAGAAGATGGAGATTTTGAGGCCAACCTTGACCATAGGGTAAGATCCTATTTCAAGAAAAAAGGAAGGGAGGGAGGGAGGAAGAAGGCTGGGTGTGGTGGTACACACCTTTCATCCTAGCACTTGGAAGGCAGAGACAGGTGGATCTCTGTGAGTTCAAGGCCAGCCTGGTCTACATAGTTCCAGGCCAGCCCCACTACAGGGAGACCTTGTCTTAAAAAGACCAAAAAAAAGTAAGAAAAAAAGGAAGAGAGAGAGAGAGAGAGAGAGAGAGAGAGAGAGAGAGAGAAAGAAAGAAAGAAAGAAAGAAAGAAAAAAGAAAAGAAAGAAAGTTCCAACTTCAGATAGAGAGGTTACAGGGAACATGGAAGAAGTATTAATTAGGTATAGGGGGGGCTCCCTTTGAAGTTCAGTTTATTTATTGGCGTTGTAATTTCAGGCAGGTGCCAGCTCCCTCTGAGACTCAGTTTCCCCACATGTAAAATGGAACCTGTGGGTAAAAAGGGTATCTTCAGGCCTAGCCCACACTTCCTCTTCTCGGTTCTCTCCCACCAGCTACCCCTACCCCATGAGAAAGCTGAAGGCCAGACTGTACTGTCAGGAGGCCCAGGCAAGGCAGCTGAAGACCCCTTTGCTGTGGATCCAGATTCTGGCTTTCTGATGGCTACCAGGGCCCTAGACCGAGAGGAAAAGGCAGAGTACCAACTACAGGTACGACAGAGTGGGGTATAGGGGAAAGGAGGCAAAACAGAACTGGGAACTAAGTACCCTTCCCTGCCAGGTTACCCTGGAGTCTGAGGATGGACGTGTCCTGTGGGGTCCACAGCCTGTGATAGTGCGTGTGAAAGATGAGAATGACCAGGTGCCCCAGTTCTCTCAGACCATCTACAGAGCTCAACTGAGCCAGGGTACTAGGCCTGGTGAGTGACAAGGGCAGCCAATGTGCAGCAAAGTCAGGTGGGCACCGATAGAACACCAGACAATAAAAAGACCGTTGGCATAGACAGAGCAGGAAGGTCCAAACTGCCTTCAGAGCTTGTCCCGTCCTACACTCTACCATGCCACTAAGGGTTCCATCCACTTTGGGCCTCAATTTGCTCATTTGTGAAGTGAGATAAAAAAAACAGGCTCACCTCCAGAATACTATACAATGGTGAACTTGGAAGGAAGCTCTGAGGAGAGAAAGGAAGGAGTTTTCCCAGCTCCACCACCCCTTACAATGTATCCCCACCCCTAGGCATTCCCTTCCTCTTCTTTGAGGCTTCGGATGGGGATGCTCCAGGCACCGCTAACTCAGACCTTCGATTTCACATTCTGAGCCAGTCCCCAGCCCAACCTTTGCCAGATATGTTCCAGCTGGAGCCTCAACTAGGGGCTCTGTCCCTCAGTCCCAAAGGTGAGCATAAGCTAGGTGTGATGACGGAGGGGTCAGGGAATGCTAGAGAAGGAGCCTCTGAGCTGTAAGTGATGGATGGGTTAGAGCTGAGATTCCAAAGGGGGGGGGGGCATTATAGGTAGAGGTCAAGCTCGTGCTGTGCATAATGGAAGCGTATGGAAATGGGGTGGATGGAGACCAAAAAGGAATGGATGAGGAAACTGTAGTAGGGACATCTCAGAAGTGACGGCAGGAGAGATCTGCTTCTGGGAGTTTGACCAGAGGCACAGGTTAGGGATAGAAGAAGTGAATTATACCTTAACCTAGCAAGCTACTCTGTCATCCATCTAGCCCCCACAACCTGTACAGCCCATCCATATAGTCTCCCACCCACACACCCAAACTCCTATCTATATACCCATCCATTCTTCAACCTATTCTCTCCCCATTGACTTTCCTCCCCCTGCCCCCTGCCACCCGGCCATCTATACCTCACCAATCCATCACCCTTTCTATGTTGTTAGATATCTAAGTGAAATTACAATGTCAAGTCCTAGTTGGATGCTCACAATGGTGCTAAAAGATTCTCTCATCCCTTGGCCGAGAGTTTTTTGAACACCTGTTTTATGTTTGGCTTTGTGTTTGGTACCTGTTGAGGATGTTCTGGGCCTGGCTCTCTGGCCATGTGCTCAGCTGACCATTCTATCCCTTCTAGGAAGCACTAGCCTAGACCATGCCCTGAGAGGGCCTTACCAGCTATTGGTACAGGTCAAGGACATGGGTGACCAAGCCTCAGGCCACCAGGCCACAGCTACTGTAGAGATCTCCATAGTAGAGAATACCTGGATACCCCTAGAGCCTGTTCACCTGGCAGAAAATCTCAGAGTCACTTACCCACACTACATTGCCCAGGTGAGTAGTGGCTATCAGTAGCTGAAGTAGCCCCAAGGCTGGTACAGCTTGGGCCTAAGTCACTTAGACACTTGGGAGGAATGCCCAGGATCCAACTTTACTCTCATGCCTCCTCCCTTGACTTCCCACTATGGAGTTGGTGGTGAGGCCCTGGGACCAAGCCTACAGTTTTCGACTACCATCCTCTGACAGGTATTGGTGTGTGTTCTGACTTCACAAGCTTGCCCAAGGCTTCCTCAGTGGAAACAGCTGCCAACTTTCACTGCCATGGGGATTGTCACCCCAGTCAGGAATGTCTCAGGCCTTTTCTAGGATCGCCCTGGGGTCAAGCCCAGTCTGAGAAAGCAGAACATAAAATAACCTGGTCTTTTAGGCACTTCAGGCAAGTTCCATGCCTGGACCAGGGTAAAGTGATCATGGAGTAGCCAGCCACATGTACTATGGGTGCAGGCTCTTCACCTGGGAATCAGTTGGAGGATAAGGGTCAGCACAGATCCTTCTTGACCCTCGGCCTGACGTACTTTCATTCTGTTCTCCTCACAGGTACACTGGAGTGGAGGGGATGTACACTATCACCTGGAGAGCCAACCCCCAGGCCCCTTCAATGTGAGTGCAGAGGGGAGGCTCTATGTTACCATGGATCTGGATCGAGAGGCCCAGGCTGAGGTGAGGTGAGAGGGAAATGGGGCAGACTGGAGGATGCTCTGTCACATTCCCCCACAGAAACATGGAGCTGGCCACAGAAAAGACCTCCTCTACCCAGGCCAGGCTTAACCCTGATCTGAACAGCTTCCCCCCGCCCCCACTGCCCTATAGTACCTGCTCCAAGTTCGAGCTGAGAATTCCCATGGTGAAGACTACACAGAACCTCTGAAGTTGCAGGTGGTGGTGATGGATGAGAATGACAATGCTCCTGTCTGCACCCCACATGGTCCATCAATCAGCATCCCTGAACTCAGCCGCCCAGGTGGGCTTATGGGCCTTGTAAGACGGAGAGAAGGGTGGGTCCCTAGGAACCATACTATCTTGCTTCTCTGGGGGTGGGTCTACTTCAGGCTTCTATCTCAAAGTCCTTCAACACACACACACACACACACACACACACACAAACACACATGCACACACGCACAGAAGTTCAAGAAGTGGATGAGTAAGACTGGGCTGTGGTTCTAACCCAGATAGGTGGTGTCTTACAGGTACTGAAGTTACTAGGCTGTCAGCAGAAGATGCAGATGCCCCTGGATCACCAAATTCCCATGTTGTGTATCGGTTGCTGAGCCCTGAGCCTGAGGAGGGGTCTGAAGGGAAAGCCTTTGAGCTAGACTCTACCTCAGGCAGTGTAACTCTGGGGACTGCCCGACTCCAAGCTGGCCAGAACATCTTGCTTCAGGTCCTAGCTGTTGACTTAGCAGGAGCAGAGGGTGGTAAGTACCCTGACAATGACCTGGGCTCTTGTCCCTCTGTTCCTACTGGGGCCTCACTGACAATCACTCCCCTGCCTCAGGCCTCAGCAGCACATGTGAGGTGGCAGTCATGATCACCGACATCAACAACCATGCTCCTGAATTCATCATTTCCCAGGTAAACAGTGGCAGAGGGGGGAGATTATTGAAAGGATGTTGATGGGGCTCACCACCCCTCTCTATCTCTCCAGATTGGGCCTGTGACTCTTCCTGAGGATGTGAAGCCTGGAACTGTGGTGACCACACTCATGGCCACAGATGCTGATCTTGAGCCTGCCTTCCGCCTCATGAACTTTGCCATTGAAGAAGGAGACCCGGAAGGGATATTTGATCTGATCTGGGAGCCAGACTCTGGTTACGTCCAGCTCAAACTCCACAAGGTTAGGATATAGACAGGTGGGAAAGGGGTACAAGTGTGCCATCCCTGGCCTACATAGTGACCCGGAACTCACTGGTTCCAGAACCTCGACTATGAGACAGCTCCTCATCACAAGGTGGTAGTGGTGGTACAGAATGTGGAGAAACTTGTGGGCCCAGGCCCAGGCCCTGAAGCCACAGCCACTGTGACTATACTGGTGGAGAGGGTGATGCCACCTCTCAAGTTAGACCAGGAGAGCTATGAGACCAGTGTTCCAGTCAGCACCCCAGCTGGCTCCCTCCTGCTGACCATCCAGCCCTCAGAATCCATGAACAGAACTATCAGGTAAGCCAAA